GTTTGTAGGTTTTTTAGTTTTGCACTAGCTTTTATATATATAAACCTTAATAAAAATATTTGAAAAAGAGAGAGAAAGAGCCCCCAAATAGCATGGTTTGGTTGGCTTTGGCTTAGTGTATTGTGTGAATGAAACTACACAAAGCTTATTCGCCATACCCGAGGTGCACAGTTTAAGAGCTGTGGGCTTAACAAACATAGCAAACTCACAGGGCACCATGGGATATTTAAAATTTTCAAGGAAGACACAGCAATACTAGGCTTGTAGTTGTGTGGTGTCCAACAAAGGTGGAGTATTGCTGTATTTCCCTCATAAATGTAAAATATCCCACAATGCCTCTGTGAGTTTGCTGCAATGCCCTGGGGTGCCATGACAGTATGACAGTTCTGCTTCCAACTCAAATGTCTTTTATCTGACTTTTGCCTTGGTTGCGGCTCTTCCTCCCGTTCCTCAAGGTTATTCCTGCTACCTATTCCAGAACCCTGGAATTCTGGAAAGATCTACAGTAAAATGATGGAGGCTTTAGATCCCAAGGTTCTTGGTGGGGAGATCATGGTTGTAATAACGATGAGTTATAATCCAACAGACACATCTGGAGAGCCCACTTTAGGGAAGGATGCATGACATTGTTTTCAAGGGTAAAGTAATTAAGATGATGACAGGCTGGATAGGCAGACATCATTTTCTACTCAATATAATTTTAGAAGAAGAGCAAGATAATCTGGATTATTGCACAGAACTAGAACTAAATGTCCACCACAAACAGCAAGAAGGGCTGTGGAAGTGAGTAGCTAATTAACGGAGGGGAGTCAGCAACTAAAAATGATTTGATAGGTGGGTGACTTTGGGCCAGTCAACTCTTTCTCAGCCCAACCCACCTCACAGGGTTGTTGCTGTGGGGAACATAGGAGACAGGAGTATTAAGTAAGTTTGCCACCTTGAGTTGACCAAATATATCTATTAAAAAAGTGGGATAAACAAATAATAATAACAATGACAACAACTATGAGAGATGGAAACAAACAGGTGAACAAGGTAAGATGTATATGGCAGGGATGGTTGTACTTCATCAACAATTATTTGGATTTCAAGTATGCTAGATGTACATCTTTATATTTAGTGCCTCTTTTTTCCCCTAGGCAATAGCCGCAACTATTACATTTCCTGAGCGGATTGATTGCAACGATCGCTGTGATCCAGATTCCCTGGTCAAGAATAGCATGGTAATTATATCTATCCAGATTAAGCAGCCATGTTGAACAGCATAAAAACATCACAAACAGTAAAACAATACCTCATTCTATGGACTGTGATTTCTGTAGTCTTTGTGGCTTTATTTATTCAAGAAGAGTTACAAACCAGTTAGGACTATAACGATAGTAATGCATCTGTTTATTTTTTATAGATTTAGATAATTTCTGCACTAGTGTAGTATAGCGTTTCATCCAGTTGTAACTGTACAAAAATAATAGTTATGCAGACAGGCTTTATATTATTTAAGTGATGGCTGAATGATACTATGAAGAATTGTAAGTCATTTTTATGGAGATGATTGTAGAAATATAGAATAATAGCGCTTGAATTGTGTTCTAAGGAAAACGGAGGTTTCCTGCATGAAAACCTATTATGGTTACGCCAAATTTCCCTAAAAGGTGACTTGCTAGACCAGTGTTGCTCAGTCTTGGCAACTTGAAGATGTGTGGACTTCAACTCCCAGAATTCTATGCTGGCTAGGGAATTCTGGGAGTTGAAGTCCACACATCTTCAAGTTGCCAAGGTTGAGCAACACTGCGCTAGACACACACAATACAATATGCAGAGAATGCATCTCATTCACAAAGAAGCATCACAAGATTGCCTGAGAAATCTGGCTAATGCCAAGTCTGAACTAAGAAGCCCAGAATCCTTGGGAGCATACATGAGTGGTCTTCCAGGAGTTGCCAGTCTGTGATCTTCAGCATCCCTCACTACTGGTACATTCTTACTCCAAAAATAGCAAGTTCTACAGGAGGTATCCAGGACTTTATTTTCCTGTTGAAACTATTAGTCAAGAGACTGAAAAACACCAGTTTCGCATTGTAAAAAAAGAAAAGAAAAAGATTTTGGAAAGAAACCAGGGAATTAGGTTGCCCCTGACAAATAAACATCCAGGGAATAATTAAGGAGTTGAAAGTAAAGGTTTCAGGATTGTCCTTTTAGTTGAAGAAAGCGAAGGCTGTCTTTGGGGAAGGGACAGGTGTTTAGAGTTGGCCTTCAGAGAAGAGGGAGGGGCAGAATGGAATAAGAAGCTTCCAGCTTTGCAAGACAAGAGAAAAAGTAGCACATATCTGATCTCGTTGTCTTCAGTAAGCAACCCCCATCAGACGGCATAATTCACCCTTAGGAAGCAGAATGCCCGTTTTAAAGCTGCCTTGGGGCTGGCCTTCTAAAAGCGGGGTGGAGGAGGGAGAAGATCTCCCACGTTCTGTTCTTGCCAGAGTCCCCCATCCCAGGGAGCAGGAGGTCCACACGGGCAAGCCTGTAGCCTGGAATAAGTTCACTCCGCCAACAGATCGCCGAGCCTGGTTTGCGGGCCAAATTAAAATGACCACCAGCTTTTGCTCTCTCTGTCTTAGCTGTGTCTGGTGAAGATTCGTCGGGGTCTTCACCATTATCAGGAACTTCTGAGACAGTATTCCACTTTGGATTCTACTGCTGAGCTCCAAACTGCCATGAGGAATTTGTTGCAGCTCCTTCCAAAGGCGAGTATACTGTATTTATGAGGCAAAAGGAACTGAGCATTTGGGAGAGGTTATGTGGAGACAGATGAAGACACATACCACCCACAGGGGTGAGAGGGGATCTTATCTATCTATCTATCTATCTATCTATCTATCTATCTATCTATCTATCTATCTATCTATCTATCTATCTTCTTTCCTCTGTATAAAAATATAGCCTGTATGTGTGTATCTATGTATGTATGTGTGTGTGTGTATACACACACACACACACACATATATATATATATCTTTCCTCTGTATAAAAATATAGCCTGTATATATATAAAAATAGCTTTCCTTCATATAAAAATATAGCCTGTCTTAACACTGTTAGTGATTGAGATATCTATCTATCTATCTATCTATCTATCTATCTATCTATCTATCTATCTATCATCTCTCTCTCTCTCTCTCTCTCATCATCTATCTCACTAACCATGTTAGGACAGGCTATATTTTTATATGTATGTATGTATGTATGTATGTATGTATGTATGTATATATGTATATATTTCAAATTTGCCACGGCCCATCTCACTACGGAGGAGAGTTATTTCCTTTGCCCCCACAGTTCTCATAGCCACTTCCATAATGGAAGCACAAGAAAGTTGTGCAGTTCCCCAAGGGGGCCAATGCTTCCCTTCAGCCCCGTTCAGTCACTGGCCCAGATTTTGCCAAGCCACTTTCTCTGTCTCGAACACCCAAACCTGTTGCTGGAACAAGCGTTCCCAAGGACAGACTCCTTGGCCACTGGGCGGGATGTGTGCCGGACTGACGTTGTTCTTTTCTGATGACAGGATGGCGTTAGCGCTGAAGACAGCAGCCCGGCCGAAGAAATAGCGATCTGGGAGAAAACGTTTATAGAGCAGCACATCCTGCAGCGCCTGCAGTTGTTTGCAGTGTTGGTGGCGAGAGTCTTTGCCCACTGCGCAGCGTTAAAATAGGAACGTAACTAACTGCGCTGGAGCAAGGCCGGGGCGGGGAGAGAACATTCCATTATAAACCTTCGCTCACTTAATGCACTTACTCGTTATCCAGAAATACAGTTCCTTGCCTGGGAATGCAAAAATCCATGAGGACAGACAAGTTGGGGGGAGGGGGGTGACCTAAGGAAAATAGGATGTGTGTCTATTAGGTGCTCCTATTTATTTAATATTCTTATTTAATGTATTTATTTTTATTTATATGGCCCAATTCCTACTGGGCACTGCAGTGCCAGTGACCAAGAATGTATAGGAAAACTAAGTGCCAACTATTAATATCAAAAGTGGGGATCACTCAAGAATCTCACACCTTCATTTACAATGTAAAAATGTGTGTTCATCCTCTTCTGAGGGATGATTATGAGAACAATGTTTTGTATGATGGAGTGCAATAAAATTCTGTATTCTTCACGTTGTGGAGAGGAACTCATTGGTTCCATGAACGGAGAAAGGACACCGAGGTGAGAGTCCCTCCCCCCCGAGTATCGTACGGGAGGCAGGGCGAAATGCTGCCTGAGCTCACCCGGTCTGGCAATATACAAATTGAATTAATGTAACTAAGCAGCTTGCTTTGACCTCTCTTTTATACAGGGCGGGGATGATGGGAGCTATGGGGCATCATCGATAGAGGGCCAGGTCTTCTACCACACTCTCCTGCAACCTTCCCTTTCACGGGTGCAAGAAAACATTTATTCAACACTGCCATTTCCGTGTTTGTAAATCAGAGTTTGCCGAATCTGGTGTGGACTTAAAAAATTGAAAGGAAGGAATAATGCTGTGAACGCAGTGCTGTACTGGCCAGCCAATGTCATCACCCCTACACTTTATTATCCCAGGGCTCTACATCTAAAGACCTCTAAAGGCCTCTGTGGATCATACCCAACAGGACAGAAACGCTAAACATAGGAATCTGACAATCATCGGAATGTTTTATTAAAATAAAAGTAGTGAATAAAAGGACAGAAATTCCAGAGTGGTGAAGGACAGTAAAGATTACACACATATATTTGAGGAAAGGGTTGGTGTGGATGTAGCTCATATTTGCTCAAATTTACCCAAATACAGTTTGATCTGGTTGGTCCCTGACACATCTCCAAATGATGGGAAATTCCACAGCAGCTTGACTGGCCAGCTTCTCATAAAGAACGTAGACGTAAATAATGTTTTGTAGCATCTTTTTATTTATAAACATCAAGCTAAGCAGGCAAGGCAAGGCATACAGAAACGAGAGCCCTCAAACTCACTATTAGTTAGTCATCAATTACTGTCACCATAGTAACGCTGACCTTAATTCTAGCAAGCAGCGGCTGTGATATTTTGTTCTTAAAACAAACAAAGAAACAAACCTGCCAGTAAACTGGATTGATGCTGAGACATTAATTTTAAGACGTCCCCAATTTCTCCAATTAACAGAACGAGCACATCATTTTTATATTTCTGGGTATCTTTTTTCCACTACTTTTCTAGATTCTAGTAAATAATATTTCCTTTCTCCAAATGTGCTTTTTGCAAATCCCTCTACTCAAAATGAAGAGCTATTTGACTTATTCTCCACACTGATCCACGTTTAACCAAGGGATGGTCAACATGTAGCCTTTTGGAAGTCAGTGAATTTCAGCTTTCATGAGTTTTAGGCCAACAAGTCCCATGTGTGTGTGTGTGTGTGTGTGTGTGTGTGTGAGGGAGGGAGGGAGGGAGGGAGGGAGCGCTCACCCACTCCAGCGGG